AAGGCCTTAACTTTGAGGGCAGCGGCAGGGTGGAAAACAGACTAGCGCAGGAGCCTGCACAGCGGGAGTAAGTGATCAGGGCCTAAAACGCGGCAGTGGCAGGGAGGATGGAGTGGAGGTCGACCGCAAGGGACGTCGCGACGCTGAGAGAGGCGAGGCGCGGCCCAGGCTGCCTCTTGCCCCCCTCAGAGGGGCCGGCCGGCTGGTCCTGCCCCACCGGCGAGCTCTCGCAGGGCAGCCCCCCGCCCGGGCCGCCGCTCCGCACCTGCTTCGGTTGCATTCTTAAAAGGCCAAGTGTTGAGGACCAGGGGCAGAGGGCCGCAGCCGCGCACTAGCGCCGGACCGAGCAGGAGCGGCGCAAGCAACACAAACAAGTTCGACTTCCGCGCCATAGCCGCGCGCCGAGCCGACCCGCGCGAGAAAGGTCGCGGCCGCCAACTCGGCGCATACCCCACAGCCCGTTCTCGCCCAACGCGTGATCCCCCAGGGCCCCGCCCACCCTCCTCGGGGCGGGGTCAATGCTCTCCCAACTCTCGCGAGGCGTGGCGCTTTCCGGGCCCGCGGGGACGTTCTGTCCTAGGTGATGTGCAGATTTTTTTTTTTTTTTTTTAACATAGTAATCCAAAGTGTTGCTTTCTGTGTTGTTATAGGCATATTGAGCTTGGTATTGGCAAATTAGTATGAAATCACGCAACTCTGGGTTGCGAGACTCTAGGAACTTCACGTAGTTACTGTGTACCATTAATTTGGTACGTTTTTACATATCGTTTTAATTTAAAATTTAAGCTGAAAAGTTTGCCAAACCCAGAATGCACTCTTCTGGGATTCCTGGCATCAGAGATCTGGGATGGTTATTGAGTGTTGGCTTACGACCAGATTTTTTTTTTTTTAGATTCCCGCTCCTGGCCTGCAAGCCTTGCATCGTTTTCCTGCAGCGTTTTGTAGGACGTCCTTGTAATAAATCCCTGAGCTGGAATAAAAGGAGAAAGAGTGTGGGAAAGTAGAAATTTGCCCTTTGTATAGCTCACTGAAGTGCACCTCCCTGCAGCTCCAGGGCAAGAAGGCTACCTCCATTCCTTTTTCAATGTATTTTACCTTCATAGTGTAAGTAAATGTTTGAATAAAAGTAGGAATGGAGACTTTACATGCATGGAGAGGCTGCTCATTTCCATAGTTGCTGGGCAGTTGTGCGAGAGTGAACCAATCCCTTTTGGGATTCAGGCATAGCTACCCATGTTGCTAAAGGAAGACATCGCAAATAATTTTTAAGAACATCTGTAAATTTATTCAGACTTTTAGAATATGAACTATGTAGGAGTTGTGGGACTTAGAAAACCTTCCTTATTGCTAGGAAAGTATGTAATTTAAGTAGCATAAGATAGCTTTATAAACAGCATAATAGAAAAATTATCCCAAGGCAGGAGAGGGCTATTAAAGTTAGGTGTAATTGAAATGTTGTAAGTTCCTTCTGTGGGATTTTGGAGGAGGAACAAGTCATTTGCGATAGGATAATCAGCATAAGCTAATGGCAGGTGAAATTTGAAAGACAGGGGAGATGATGAGAAAGCAAGAAAAATACGTTGTGTTAGATAGATTGTGAGGGATGCTGGGCCTCCTAGGGATGAAAGTGGGTGTTGTTGCCTCCATCTTGGTCCTGCCCCACCCTAATTCTTCACACCTGGGGGAGGAGGGAATACTCTAGGAATCTGCCAATCAGAACTTGGCCCCACCTAGCACTCTGGGAGGCCTAGGTAGGAGGATGCCTGGAGGTTAGGAGTTGGAGACCAGCCTGAGCAAGAGTGAGACCCTGTTTCTACTAAAAAATAGAAAGAAATTAGCTGGACAACTAAAAATATATAGAAAAAATTATCCAGCCATGGTGGCGCATTCCTGTAGTCCCTGCTACTGGGGGGTGGGGCCTGATGCAGGATTGCTTAAACCCAGGAGTTTGAGGTTGCTGTGAGCTAGGCTGACGCCATGGCACTCTAGCCAGGGCAACAGAGAGACACTCTGTTCCAAAAAAAGTAAAAGAACTTGGTCCCAGCTGCAAAAGACTGCAGAGGACTCTCTAGCCCACAGGCCAAGTGGCATAGGAACATAGAGTTCAAAACTAGACCTAGAACCCACGTACCTAGTTAATGCTCAGGTCATGTGACTCCCAACTGTTCAATCAAAGTGGGTCTATGTGACCTCTGAACCGTGAGGGTGGGCCCTATCCAGGCATTATAAAATAAGGCTCAGAGGGTAGCTTCACTCTTTGCCTTTTCTTTTGCCTGCCCCCTGCTGCTACATGGGTCCAGTCCTCATCCGTGGGGTATGTACTATGCTCTTTAAACCTATCTTACTCTTGCGCTATAATCCTATCTTCCTCTCCTCAATAAACCTCATTTTCGGGCTCGCCTAACTTTGGCGTGTCTGGTCGCCAAGTACCCACAGTTTCAGACTGAAACCTAACAAATGTACTCTGAATTAATTTTCTTTAGCACCTGAGCTATTATTTAGGCAGCCTAAGGAACTGAGACATGCCTTTAGCAAAAATTTTAAATACGATACATGAAAATTACTCTCTCTTTAGCCTCTTCCCAGTTTTTAAGGTGTTTGTGTTTCTTCTGGCTGGAAGAGCCTGAACTCTTACCTCCTATGTCCATTCCTTTCTCCAAAATTCTCTCTCCTTACTCGAAATCAAAATTCCTGTCAGAGAGGTTCACCTCATCTATTGGTTAGGAGAAAACAGCTAAATTATATGATTGTGGGAATGTCAGAGAGAAAGTCTCAATATGTCAACTTTCCCATGGACATTTGTATTTAAAATAATTAACATGTAATCCCAAAATAACCTATCTTATTTGGTGTCCTATTAGTGGCTATTAATATACCCACTGGGTCTACTCTCCAGTTTGCCTAAGCTTACTGTCATTTCTCTAGCTATATCTTAATCAAAGAAGTTAAATTTTTCTGGGTTCCTTCTTAATTTTTCTTTAAAGAATAGTTTGCGTTTTACTCCTGGATTTAACCTCATATTACTCTCACTTAGGTTTTCATTTGGTCCTAAATATAACTGAGTCCTTCTGCTTTATTTGAAGTAAATTAAATGAAAAGGAACATCTGCTAACACATAGTAGACCTTTAGAAAATGATCCACAGTTTCCCCAGTATTCTAATTTTCCATTCTTTAAAATCATTAATTATACATAACAATAGAAGTATATAGTCTTACTGATAAATCAGAAGAACTAGGTATAAAAATTTAGAATGTATTATACAATTTTTTTGGTAAAATGTTTATGTTCCTAAATAGAACTTAAATAATGCAATACTTTCAGAAGGATTCTTAAGACCTGGATTTTATAATTAAGGGTGACCACTGTCAGCTGTGGTTAACTCAATACTCTTCCCGAGTCACTCTTTGCTCATCTGTAAAATGGAGGTAATAATAGTGTTCTTTTTTCTTTACAAAGCTTTGTGAAATAAGCTTTGTAGGAGATGTGTGAGAGAGGTAGAGTACTAGGCAAATTAAGTAAAATTCTATTGTTTTAATTGGCATTTACCAAGTATCAGGGAGGGGATAGTCCAGAAACAAATGAAGCTGGAAAAAGAAATTAATTTAGGATTTGAGAAATTTCCACAGGAATGATAAAGAGTTGGCCAGATACCTGTAAAGGCGTTTAAAGTAAGCACTTAGAATTTCCTTGAGTGTATTAAATGGGAGTTAAAAATAATGTTTGCAGTCTACTTTGAGCTGTCAAAAAATTTGGTTTAAATGTTTATAAACATGGTGCATGGCAGGGTTGTGAGATTTTTAAAAACAGCATCTTCAAGTATTACCACCGAGAAAGCATCAAACAGAAACTTAAATGATGTTACAAATAAAGTCTTCCCGTGTGTCCCTGTGTGTGTGCTTGTGTTGTGTGTGTGTGCTGGTGGCTGGGAGGGAGTTTGGGGCAGCTGCAGGCTCCCCTCCATTTCCTCTAAACTTGATGGCTTTCAATTTACCAGTCTCAGAAGGATGAAGAGTTGAATCTCTCCTGATAGCATTTGAAGCTGTGGTTCCACAGAGGATTTAATGCTGTAGTTGCAGGGAGTCTAGTATTTCAATTCTGAGGCTTAAAAAACTAAGCCGTCCCCTCCGGCTTTTGCACTGATGCTGTGAAATCCATTTGAGAAACATGCCCATGTTTTGCTACTTGTTCAAAGCTGTAAGCGTGACTTGGCATGGAAATAATAATTTCTTTTTCAAAACTCCCCACTGAACTATTACCTGGGTTATCTAAATATAGGCTAGTTACTTGATTGGCATTTGCTCTTGTCAGTTTCACAAACTAATGATTTCTGCTGATGTTAGAGCATTGTGGTACTGTGTTTCTAATTTAAATCTAGTTTCACATTAATCCGGGAACACTTGATGTTATTACCTGATTGTACATTCTGGATGTAATTAGAGTTATTATACAGAAATAAGTGTCATCTTATTATTCTCTAAAAGAGAAAAGAGTATTCTTCCTTTCTGAAATAATTTTTCTGGGTCATGACCCCAAAACCATTTGTCAAATCAATAGCAGATTCAAATCACAAATTTTTTTGACTTTTTAACCTTTAAAAGTCATCTTTGTGACTTATGAAGACCAAGATTATATAGTAGAATTGGCCTATTAAGTGATTTCTTCTTAAAATAAGTTATGTACAACATAATTTCCCAATGGTTAACATAAAGAATTAAAAGGAAAAATTAGTTTACATGTGACTTAGCAATTTTTGAGAAACATGTATGTGTTATTCAAATACCTCTAAGTACTGTATCCCTTATTAAAAATCACCAATCTCTTAATAAATTGGTATGTATCTGATGAAAAATCTTGGTATCCCACACATTGTTGTATAACCTTTTTTATTATATCTTTGAACTTTTTCCATGTTATTAAATTTTATTTTTAAACCATTTTTATTATGATATATAAATATAGAAAGGGCATAAAACATAAATATAGAGATTAAGGAATTTTGTATAAAATGAGCACCCATATAATCTCCAGTCATGTCAACAAATAGAATACTGTTAGCACCCCAGAAAACCACTAATTACCTCTACATTTTTAAAGAGAGTTTATTTGTTAAGAACAGTTTCTGGTTCACAGGAAAATTGCCCAGAAAGTACAAAGATTTCCCACGCATACTCTGCTCCCCCCCCCAATAGCCTCCCTCATTGTCAATATTCCCCACCAGAGCGGTATGTTTTTTACAACTGATGAACCTATATTGACACATTATTACTCCAAGTCCATAGTTTACATTAAAGTTCATGCTTTGTGTTGTACATTCTATGGATTTTGAAAAATGTATAATGGCATGTATTCACCATTTTAGTATCAAGAGTATTTTCATTGCCCTAAGAAGGCTCTGCCTATTCATCCCTCTCTCTCCCTAACTCCTGGCACCACTGACCTTTTTATTGTCTCCACAGTTTTGCCCTTTACAGAACGTCATGTGGTTGGAGTCACATCCGTAGCCTTTTCAGATTGGCTTCTTTCACTTAGTAATATGCATTTAAGTTTCCTCCATGTTTTTTCATGGCTTGATAGCTCATTTCTTTTAGCACTGAATAATATTCCATTTTCTGGATGGTACCATAGTTTGTTCATTCATATATTGAAGGGCATCTTGGTTTGCTTCCAAGTTTTGGCAATTATGAGTAAAGCTGCTGTAAACATCTGTGTGCAGATAAAACATAAGAGTTTTAATGAATGTATAAAATTCATTTATGACTGCATAAGAACTTTTGATTTCTGTTGCCTTTAAGATTTTTGGTCTTTGTATATAAAGAATTTGTCATAATTAACCTGTCAGATATTACATTTAGTTTATATGATAGTCTTTAGCAAAGCATGCTAGATAACGGGCGAAGGTCAATATTAGGAATTTAGGATTCTTACAGAACTCAGGTGGATGAGCACAGTTAGCTCAGTCTGTTATTAACACTAAGGTTTCTGAAGAGTCAGGGCAGATTTAGAGATCAAGCAGGTCTACAAATCTGGGGAATCAGATGGTTTGAGAGATTGGTAACAAGTGAGCTCTGATTCTGAGGAAGAGGCTGTTCAACCTTTCCAACCTTTTTGATTTTATACTGGGTACAGAATTAGGTAGCTGTGAACTCACTAGCTTTTAAGTGTATCCCAAATATCTGATGGCACTCCGTAGTTTAAGTGCCCTAATTACTTGATGGCCTTTAGAGTAAAAGCCTAGATCATAATTTTTTTTTTCTTTAGAGATGGGATTGCTATGTTGCTCAGGCTAGAGTGCAGAGGCTACTCATAGGTTCGATAATAGTTCATTGCAGTCTTTAACTCTTGCGCTCAAGTGGTCTTCCTGCCTCAGCCTCCCGAGTTGCTGGTACTACAGATGCTTGCCACCACGCAGGCCCATCAATCTTTAAATTCCTTAAATTTCTTAGGTTTGAAGTTATGATAACTAACTCTGAAATTTTGTATCAGCTTTGAGCGAGACCCTATCTCTACTAAAAACAGAACGAAATTAGCCAAACAACTAAAAATAGAAAAAAGAATTAGCCGGGCATGGTAGCACATGCCTGTAATCCCAGCAACTTGCGAGGCTGAGGCAGGAGGATTGCTTTGAGCCCAGGAGTTTGAGGTTGCTGTGAGCTAGGCGGACGCTACGACAGTCTAGCCCGGGCAAGAGAGTGAGACTCTGTCTCAAAAAAAAAAAAAAAAAATATATATATATAAAGAGTCTGGGCTGTCAGTGGAGTATATAATAGGAATAGCATATACAGAAACAGGAGCTCAGATACCTAGATGACCTTGAAAATTTGAGATTTATGTAAATTTCTAGAAACTTTTAAAAGGACTTTCAACTTCATTACAGTATAAATTTGGAGTTTGAACCAACCTTATTTAGATCTCAGGGATCTAAAAAGCCCCATTCAATGTCAGAATTATGGTTCTGGTGCTCAGTGAGAGATTGAAAATATGGCAATTCTCCCTCTGGTATAAAAAGATGGTTATTTTTAAGAATAAGAGATTAAAGGAAAATTGAGAGATTAGTGCCTGACAATCTTGATATTCTCTAAGAGCAGTAAAAGTCATCTGCCTAGATTGCAGCAGGTTTAGAATGGGATTGGTAACTAGAAATTGGTGAAGGATTTGAGAAGATACACTATGGAGCTTCTCAGATAGATGGATAATAATTGAATAAAAAAGATTGTGAGCATGAATGAAGATCCATTTGAAATCAAATAACCTGATATTGCTGAGTCCAAATTAATCAGCCTTGGCCTTTCTCTCATATCACTTCAAAGCACCTAAATTATAACATAAAAAGTGAGAATTATCTCTTCCTATGGAGGGAGTCTGGTTGGTTGCTGGGAAATCTATTGGTATTGCTGATAATGGATAAATCCAGATTAGAGAGCTGGAAAATAAGGAGGTTGTAATAAATGATAACAGTCCTTTTCACATACCACTGACTGTCATATCCTAGGTTTCCAAGGTAGGTTCAATCCATAAATTGAAGTGAACCTTCAAACTAGGGTGGCCTTAGCCTTAGAAACCCCAACAATTATTTCTTTCCTTATTTCTTCTTGTTTTACCCACCTTTTTTTCTTCTCTCCCTCCCTTTCTTTCCCCTTCCTCCTCTCTTCTTTCCTCTCTTCTCTACTCCTCTACTCAATTATTTATTGATTGCCTACTGGGTGCCCAAAATGTTTTTTATGTATTATGGATATAGTGAACAAAGACAAAATTCCCACTCTGATGGAACTTACCTAAACTACTGAACAAATAATATAGTACGTTAAAGAGTAGTAGAAGCCATGGAGGAAGATAAAGCAGCATACTGGAATTGCTGGGATGGGGTGCTCGTGGTGAAGTCATGAGAAGTGGTTTTGAAGGAAGATCCTGCAGGACTTGGTTGTGGCCTGGGCATGTGGCTTCAGAGAGAGGAAAAGCACCAAGCTTTAGTTAGTTATACTGGGCGGTGTGACTAAATGTAACTTAGGGTGAAAAATGGGATAAAGAATAGTTTTTGTCTTTGGGTATAGAGTAACCTTGGAATTGATTTAAGCTAACACATTTCTGAGGGGAAAATCTGTATCGCCCACAGTGGTCTCAGGAAGATACTTTACAGAAGTGAATGCTGGTATTAAGGGAGTAGCTTCATACAAACAGGAGCAGGACTCTCTCCTCCATTATGCTATCTTCCTCAAAAGAGGAGAGCCATATACATCCTGGTTGACCAGACATTCCTGTTGAGTTCAGCTGGAGCAAGAGAACAAAAAGCTGAGGAATGCCACTTTTCTCAACTCCTTATATTTCCTTTCATGTTGAGGGTATTCACTGAACCTCTGTACTCCCTTACTTTGGGTGCCTTCTTTGATTGAAAAATTAGGAAAGACTAAACTGGGCAGGATGCGAGGCTCATCTTTGACCCTTTTCCCCTTGAACCTGAGCTGCTCACAGGGACTGGGTTCTTTGCTCCTGCTTTGTCATGGCTGGCTAGGTAAGTGTCCAATTCTGGAATTTAATGCCAAGAAGTCCATTTCACTCTCAAAGTGTAAGGGATAGCCTCTGACTTAGCCTTTATTAATTGTGGAAGTGATCTTCAGGCCTCCTATGCTACTCCTTGATTTTATGGTTCAGTTTACTCAGAACTGGTAGGGAAGAGGAGTACTATCTACTGAGTCTCCAAGAGGACCAGGGAGCAGTAATGGTCACACCACCTTTTACTGTTTCATAGCAGTTAACAGAACATGTTCACACACGTAATCTCATCTATGGCTTCCATTTTGCAGGTGAAGGAATTGAGCTTTACAGGGTAAATGACATGACCAAACTCATATTTACTAAAAGTAGAGATGAGATAATATATCCAGGTCTCTTTCCTATAAACTTAAGTGTTTTTTCCCCTCATATCCACAGCAGCTTTGGATATATACTGAAGGTAAGTTTTCTTTGTATCACTGGGATAGTGCATACATTCGTTAAAGTTTGAGCAGCAGCATAGGGAACCTCTGTCAAATGGTGAAAATAGAAAACCTGACACTATATATTTTATTAAATCCTTGCACATTTGTTCAAATATGAATCTCACATTTGAAATATGTCAAATTTTTCATTCCTGTGTGAAATGTATTCAAATATATTTTCCTTGAGAGTTGCCCTTCATGGAGTTTTTTAAATTTAAAGTGCTGAATTTTGGTATTCATTTTGTTATGTTTGTTGATATGGTGATATCTGCTATTAAACTAAGAAATGGGTAATAATATCCCAACAATGTTGAAGAATTCCTATAGCAGCTGTTTTTCACCAAGTACCTTTTCATTCCTCCATCTTGGCAGAATGCAATATCTATTAATTATTGCAAAAATTTAAAAGTTTCCTGCCTCACGATGGAAACTATCTTGTGCTTATTTTTATGTGAAGTAAAATCCAACATGGTGAGCACCCAGGAGAGCCATTATGGACAGACAGTAGTACAATATGAATGGCATTGGAATGTTTCCATGTGGCAGTAAACTCTTATCTCCAGCCAAGACCCATCAACACAAATAGAAGGAATGTGAATTAGTTGATGAGGCTGTGCACTTACTATTAAGAGCAACTGTGCAATCTAGTTTTCAGGACCCGTGCTACCCGAACACATTTTTCTACATTACATAATGTTATTATTTAAATATTGTCATTCAAATGTGAAGACCAGCTGTGCATATCAGGACACAGCTGTTGGGCTGAGGTGCAGATAAGCCATCTGGTGCTTGGTTCTGGGTGGTTAAATTCCAGCCAGGGATTTAACTTCATATCCAGCTGTGATAAAGTAAATTGAAGGTTGCATATTATTCCTCAGAAATCACTCCTTTGGGATATTTCTCAGCTATAAATTTCAACCAGAGCTGTCATTGATTGGTTTTACACTTTCAATTACAGCATTTGCCAAAATAAAACAAAACAAAAAACTGTTTAGTCGTTTCATTTTCGTTCTATGAAATAAAACCAAATAGTTCAAGAGAATGAAGCTTTTCAGTCTTCTTCAAATTATAGGTGCACAGGGACAATCTGCAGTAAAATTGCCTGGCTTAACACATCTCTCTGAAGGATGGAAAGAAAAATCAGGTGACCCATAAAAGCTGAGTTAGAGAGCAAAGGTGGTAATTAGCCTGATTTCCAGAATTGTTGTGCCTATAGGTATGTGATTTATGAGAGCAACAAAATTTCCACAATAGTCATAGCTGTGCTTAGATACACGCCTTTCTCAATTTCAAATGTTTTCAGTGGAAGGATCTTCAAATGCTTCCTTGACCTTTTGTATGTGTGGCTAATCATGGAGTCCGGAGAAAGAAAAATACCTTGAAAAGTTTGACTCCTCCAGTCTCTTTAAGCATTTCTGTGTATAACTATCTATTAGATATTATGGAATTAATCTATCTTACTGTTAAACATCTTCAAAGGAGCACACTTTTACTATAACTTACTGTAATATTTTGGTTAGTGAATGCTCTATAATTATACTTAATGCAAATAACACTAAGATATATTATTGAGTAAGATACAGTTTATGGCATATATTATGAATGTTAGCTTTCAAATTAATTTAACTAATACTGAGATTAAATGGTTTCTTCTTTCTTTAAAACTGATTTGCTTTATTCTATCCTTTGGCTTCTGATTGGAAAACTGATTTTTATCTCCAGATGGAACCAGATGGAACTTTCTACTGGCAGCCATAATTGCTAATTTAAACCAAAATGTGAATGTGGGTGGGTGTAGAGAAATTATTTGGTAAAGACACTTTATTTTCCTTTCAAAACGTGTTTAGAGAGAATTGTATAAGGAGAGTATGTGAGTCAACAACACAGAGATAAGCATAGTAATGCAAACTTCAGGTGAGTACATTCAGCATTGGCCATTTATTTTTCATTTGATTCTACATGCAGAAATCCTTAAGAAATATTTTTAATTTTAATATAAGTTTGAGTTCAGAACTTGTTTCTAAAGATTAAAGATTTGACAGATATAAGATAAATCAGTAAAAGTAGGATATTATAAGAAAAGCTGGGGGAGAAATATAATTCTTTTGCATATGTTTGTTGGGGAAGTAGAATTTAAAAATAAATTATTTTAGAATTGATATCAGGATTATGTTTTAATTAGAAATTTCTCCCGAATACATTTTAAAAAATCTTGTCAATACTTTGAATAAAAAAGAAATCTCCCCCTTAAATTCTATAGGTGCCCATACTTTCATATCTCATTCCCAGCACTGAGTGGGGCTGATAGTAGCAATTGGAATTGCTACTCTGTGGAGTGTGGAAGGACAGGCTTTACTATCATAGAAATCATCGCACAAAAATGAGAAACAAGGTGAAAACAAAGATGTTTGCAAAGATTGTAAATTTACACAGATTCTAAACTCATATTACACCTCTTGTTTTCAGATTTTAACTGTTGACAGTTGTTAAATTTTATGCTAATTCTCATTTTGTTCTTTTCATCTAGAATACTTAAAAATAATTTTATCATATGCTTTTTTAAAATTACATGTGTTTGTACCACTAAATGTAGACAAATGAAAAACTGCAAATTACTTCTACTTGTTAGAAGTTTCATTATTTGACTTAGAAAAATTAATTTTACTGTCATCTCCATGACACCTAGAAGCCCTTCAGTGATGGCAAATAGCTCCCTCTTCCTTACAACAGAAAGATGATAGACTAGGATGGAAAAGTGTAAAGAAAACTGATTTTCAGTGAGTCTGGCTGTTCAGTTTGCGTGCATTCTCTTCCTTTTGAAAATGAGATGTGGGTGAGAATCTCCTGAATTAGTGAATTTCAAACATAATTGAAATGAAGATATTTATATAATCCCTGGGTTATACTGTGAAACTATAAGGGAAAAAATGGAAATGGTGAAAATTACCCAAGTAAATCTGGTGTTTGTATTAAGGGACAGGTTGTGGAGTCAGACCTTCCATGATAAAAAACAGATTTGTTGTATTTTCTTCCCTCCTCTTTTTTTTTTTTTTTTGAGATAGAGTCTTTGTATGTTGCTCAGGCAAGTCTTTGAACTTTGGCTTCAAGCAAGCCTCCTGCCTGGCCTTCCAAAGTGCTAGGATTACAGGTGTGAGCCACCATGCCCAGCCAGTTGGTTTTTTTTTTGTTCTGTTTCACATGAGTTTTGGTTTCCAATTAGGAAATGTATTAGGAACCTAAATGTGTCAATATATTATGTATACAATAACGTCATGATGATGAACAGTTACCTTATTGTGTATTTTCTATGAGCCCAGCGCTGTTCTAAGTATTTAATGTATTAATTTATGTAATACTTTCGACACTATCATTATCCAAACTCTATAGGTGAGGAAAAGAAACCTGGAGAAGTTAAGTAATTTGTCCAAATTCTCTTAGCTAGTAAATGGTACAGCTAAAATAAAAACCCCTAACACCTGATTCCAGAAACCACATTTTTTCCTTCTAAATTATATTGCCTACAAACTATGATGTTAAAACATAATATCTGATTGTGATCTCATGAGCAACTAGGACTCAAAAGGCGCACACACACACACACACACACACACACACACACACACACACACGTATTCTTTCCTCCTTAAACAGCCAACCAAAGAAATAATTATGTTTAGAATATGTTAAATATTCTAGATTAATAATCCTATAGTTATTTTTGTTTACATCAAACAATTTGAGAAGAGATGATCAAGTGAAAGGCAACAGAATAATTTAGCTGCTTAAAATGGGTATTGGAGTATAGAGAAACTAAGTGGCATTGACTTTAGAAGGGTTACTTAAATTATACTTAAATACATTTTTTCTGTTTTTTGAGACAGAGTCTCTCTCTATTGCCCGGGCTAGAGTGTAGTGGTGTCATTATATCTCACTGTAACCTCAAGCTCCTGGGCTCAAGTGATCATCCTGCCTCATTCTCCTGAGTAGCTAGGACTATAGGCCAGGCCTGTAGCCAGGCCTGGCTAATTTTTCTATTTTTTGTAGAGGTGGGATCTCACTCTTGCTTAGGCTGGTTTTGAACTCCTGGCCTCAAGAAATCCCTCAGACCCCAAAATACTAGCATTATAAGTATGAGCCACTACACCTGGCCTTCAAAAACATTTTTTAGAAGTTCCTGAACAACAAAGGACAGCGTTTCTACATACCTGTGTACCCTGAAGACAGGAAAAGAGGAAAATAGATTTTGCTCACAAAAAGGCAGTTTGATTTAGACATACATAAATCTTTCTAGGACTATGTGGAATAAATCAAAGCCGTAGAGAATCATGTGGTCACTGTTCATCACAGCTGATGCATCTGTTACAGTAAATGAATACTGGATCACTAAAATTCTTTCTACCTTTATGATTCTATTAACTTGACCAATGGTCAAGGTAGGTGCTGTGTTTCCCTATCCTTCAACTGATACAACTTGATTATAAGGGCTGTAATATAAACAACTACTAAAAGTGAGTACATAATCACTGAGGAAATATAAGAAAAACAGTATTATTCAGCAACTGAATGGTAGTGGTTTACAATGCATTGTGAATTCCTTATGCAATATCTAAGGTGAACTCAATTAAATTCTAACCATACATGGGTTAGATAATCATGGGTTCACCTATTCATGGGTTAGATAGAAGCTTCTAGCCAAGTACCTAGTTTAGGTTAAGAGAAAATAGCCTTCCTAGAAAAGATTGTGATCATCAAAATTATAATCTAATAGAAGATGTAATCCCCTCTGAAGGAAAGATTTTAAGCTAAAATTTTAACATAAAAATGTATAATCACTTCATTACTAGTTGTTTAGAAGAGGAACAAAAGAACACTTTCTTTTGGGAAAAACTAAATTATCTTAAACATTTACTCAAAATTTATAAAAATGATAAGTATTATGAAACATCCATTAATCCTGGAAGTGCTAACCTATGTATTAACCCTTTATTATCTGAATATTCCAAATTTTCTAGGCCCACTCCAAGTTATGAAAACTAGACTATTGGCCCTGAGGAGCAATATGGAACAGTTTTTCAACATTATTTTTTAAATACAAAGATATGACATTGCAAATCTGTGATACTTGTTTGAATCTATGTTCTATCAGGTTATAATCTCATATGTCTATAACTTGTTTGATCTTAATATTTTTTTTAAAAGTTCTGATCCCTTCAACAATTTAAGTCACTATAAAATTTCATCCCATCTTCCAAATTCTTCATCCCTTTCAACAAAAAAATATATTTGAGCAAGTTCAAGACAAGGCTAAGGCTTACTAATAAGGGAATTCAAAAACTTATTAGTGCTGTCTTGGTGCAAAGGAGGCATAGCATATGGTTAAGACTATATAACATATCCTAGAGATAGTCTGCATACATTTGAACCCATTATATAAGCTTCATAGTTTGTTACATAGAACTATGTATTGCAAATAGTTTTCATTTCTGGGTATGAATTCCAGTTTCTTCAGTGGATTCTTTTATCATCTTCATAAAAGACAAAGTAGATGTTTGGGTAGTGCATGGGTGTCCATTCTGATTAGTGCTGAGGAATCAAAAATAAATTATTTGAATATCACTCCTAGACCTAAGTATAATTGTACATATACTTGGAATTGGTTGTTCATATATATGTATGATGAAATATCTTCAGAAAAATCTATGGATGAGCCAGAATTTCCTGGCACTTGCTTTTTAAGTATTTTTTCTTCTGGGGAGAACTTAATTACTCATAAGTTGTGGCCATTATTATTGTTTTCAATTTATTTACTTTTATTGAGTTATATAAATTATATCTATAGCTAACTATTTTTTTTATAGAAAGTATATAAGTATGTTACATGTGCGTATAAGTGTACAAACTAAGATGTAGAAAGAATAAAAAGCAGAGTGACAGAAATTTTACTTAGGGTTGGTGACTAGAAACCAATCTGGGTATTTTAAGCAGAAAGGAATTTACTATAGTGAATTAAGTGCTAATCAGAACATATATATGATTATGATGATCCAAAAATAGAAATAGTTTTCTTAAGAATTGAAAGTGGTGAGAAAAAGGTGTCTAAAGTCCTTTTTTTTTTTTTGGAAACAGGGTCTTTCTCTGTTGCCCAGGCTATAGTGCAGTGGCCTCATCATCTCCTGGGCTCAAGCTATCTTCCTCCTTAGCCTCCTCAGTAGCTGGAAGTACAGGTGTGCACCACCATGCCCAGCTAAATTTTTATTTTTCCGCAGAGACAGTGTCTCACTATATTCCCACGGTGGTTTGGAGCTCCAGGCCTCAAGTGATCCTCCTGCCCTAGCCTCCCAAAGTGTAAGATTACAAGCATGAGCCACTGTTCCAGGCCTAAATCCTTTTTTAATTAGAATGATTCTGAAATACAAAATGTAAATTATGCAACACACGAGCAGCAGGAAAATAATTTGAGAGAAAAACCCTGAAAAAACCTTTGACTGCGTGCCATGCATAGAAGCTCAACATTAAATGAGTTTAGTATAAATCTCTTAAAGACCGTTTTGGCTTGTGGAGAGTTGTCAGTAACACTATCCTACCCTTTATCCAGGAGAAACCATAGACTACGTACGTACATCACGTGGAAAGTACCAACTAACAAAATTTTGTTGCAAACAGCAGGTAGTTCACTACTTCAAAAGCCCTTTCTGTCGTCAACGTAAGTGGCAAGAAAGCTGGCTGCGGAAAGTTCCAGATGCAGTATCTGGTAAGGAGAGTCCAAACACACCTGAGAAATGTTAAGGTTGGCGGTGTGCCTGACTCAACAGATTGTTTTTGTTTCTCCTCCATTAGATGTTTTTTAAAATTACAAAAGTCATATACTCCTTACATGAAATCAAACAACAGAAATGTATGAATAAAAAGCTCAGAAATGCACCCAACCCAACGGTCCTACCTGATGGCGCCGACGGACCCTCGCTGCTTCCGGCGCGTGCACAGGAGGCGTCAACTGCGCATGCTCCGTGGCGGTCTCGGCACCTGAAGCCCGGGAAGGCTCACCTGGGCGCCTGGGCAGGCGGGCAACCTGCGGATGGGCAGACTGGAGCCCTTGTGGATGAGAGCTTCATCTCTAGAGCCTTGGCCCCATGAAGGAGACCGTGATGGGCGTCAAAATTATCCGAAACCGCCTCACTGGGTATGTCTCTCGTCTTCTCAGTTCTCCCTGAGGAGATTGTTCCGTGGCTGTCATGGAGGAAAAGAGGAAGGGCTTCTCTCCACCCCCTAATGATTGTAATTATAGTGTTATAAAAGCTAACATTTTGAGCGCTTAATGAGTGGAAGTGCAGCATCTTGCTTATGGACAGGACTGTGGAGACGGAGTGGCTTTGAAAGGTATTTTTGCTGTGTGAACTTGGGTAAGTTACTGTCTCTCACCTTGACCGTGAAAGTGGGAATAATAATAGCATCTACCTCCTGGAGTTATGGTGAGGATTAAATTATTTAATTCACATTCAGCATTAGAACAGTGTCCGGCATCTCTGACATATACTCAGTAAGTATAATCAGATTATAATCAGGTAATAGGCACTTTATATCCATTATCTTTTTACAATCACAAGATTTCTGAGGTAAGTACTTTTTTGTTGTTGTTGTTGAGACAGAGTGTTACTCAGTGTCCTTGGGTTGAGCGCAGTGATTGTAGTCACCGCAAGCTCCAGGTCGGGGGCTGTGGGCGATCCTCCTGTCTCAGCCTCCTGGGTAGCTGGGACTACTGGTGCGCCACAACCCCTGGCTGGGTTTTGTGGTTTTGTGTATTTTTTTTTTTTTCTTTTCTTTTGTTTCTTGTCTCTAGACACGAGGTCTCACTGTGCTAAGGCTGGTGTTGAATGAGCAGCTAAATACTATTAGATAAGATTACTAACTCTTAGATTTACATGGCTATTAAATGCATGCCAGGACTCCAAGTCTGTCCTCTAAGCTCCTAAGTGCCCTTAACTCTTAAGCCATTCATTTAAAAAATTATTTATAGAGACACTACTATGTGTTATCTTCTAGATTCCTGGATGAAATAAGCCAGACATGGTTCCTGTTCATGGAGTTTCCTTCATTCTTTGGGGGAATGAGACAATAAATAAACAAAACAAAATGCAGAATATTTTTGAATGCTGGTGTTCAGTTGCTTTTAGTTTCATCTTTCTCTTTGGGGGGGTCTTAGTTTTTCTTTGGGTTCTGGTTAGCGAGGATTCTGTTATCAATTTGACAGTGTTTATTGAGCATCCACTCTTTGCAAGGTACTCTGCTACATGTGGCTTGGTAAAACATCAAATGGTTTAAAAATACAGATGAGAGACCTAAAGTGTGGCCCAGTCTGTGACTCTTTGGTGAAGAGATACTTATTTAAAACCTCATTTCTCAGGAACAGATTTTCTGACTGGTATAGATTATGCCCACCTAAAGATTTCTCTTCCTGCTCTTGTATATAGAATACCCTAGATATTCAGCTACTGGTATGAAAATTCATTCTGTAATACCTTCTATTTTTAAAACATTGGTGTTTTAATCTTTATTGAAATACGACTTGGAACTGTCTTTTCTTACCCATGGTTACTAAACTCTAGCTGTTACTAATGGTGGTACCTACAGACATATATTTACATTCCTGCCTCATTTGACAAAGGCTTTGAAGTGGTGTACAAGAATATCATAAAATAAATAAATGTAAATTAAAAACCAAGGTTGGGCATGGTGTAACTTTAGGAGACCAAGGGGTTAGGATTGCTTGAGGTCAGGCCTTATAGACCAGCCTGAGTGACATAGTAAGACCCAATCTCTACAAAAAATTAGCCTGGTGCATGGTGGTGCACACCTGTAAGTCCCAGCTACTTGGGAGACTGAGGCAGTAGGATTGCTTGAGCCCAGGAGCTGGAGGTTATAGTGAGCTGTGATTATGCCACTGCACTCTAGCCTTGGTAACAGAGCCAGATCCTGTGTCTAAAAAAAAAAAAAAAAAAAAAAATAGAACTCTTGTTAATGGTATGTATGCTAAAGTAATTGAGGAAAGTTTCCTAATATCTGCAACTTAATTTTTTCCCCCTGTTTAAAAATTTCAAAATATTAAGGGGGTGCAAATGTTTTAGGTTACATGGATCATTTTTGTAATGCTTGAGTCCTTATAGGTGTGTCTGTCACTCGATAGTGTTCATAGTACCCATTAGATTGGTTTCTTCCCCTGCCCACTTTCTCCCATCCCTGGTTGCTCTCCACTGAGTTTACTTCTCTCTGTGAACTTGTGTTAGTTGCAATTTAATAGTGAGTACATGTGGTGTTTGTTTTTCCATTCTTGTGCGACTACTGCAGCACTAGGGTGTCAGTTGTTGGTCCTGCCCAGAATACTTCAGTTCTGCTCTATAAGGATATATAATAACTGATTGGTGTGTCCATTTAATATAAGAAAATGGAAACTGAATAGCCAGAGGGAAACCTTCCCCAACACTGAAACCAATGGTGAATTTGGTAAACGCCCTGCAGAAGATATGGAAGAGGAACAAACATTAAAAGGTCTAGAAACACTGATGAGATGGTAGAATTACGCATTCTGCTTCAGAGCAAGAATGCTGGGGCAGTGGTTGGAAAAGGAGGCAAGAATATTAAGGCTCTCCGTACTGACTACAATGCCAGTGTTTCAGTCCCAGACAGCAGTGGCCCTGAGCGCACATTGAGTATCAGTGCTGATATTGAAACAATTGGAGAAATTCTGAAGAAAATCATCCCTACCTTGGAAGAGGGCCTGCAGTTGTCATCACCCACGGCAACCAGCCAGCTCCCGCTCGAATCTGATGCTAGTGGAATGCTTAAATTACCAGCACTATAAAGGAAGCGACTTTGACTGCAGAGTTGAGACTGTTGATTCATCAGAGTCTGTCGGGAGGAATTATTGGGGTCAAAGGTGCTAAAATCAAAGAACTTCGTGAGACACTCAAACAACAATCAAGCTTTTCCAGGAATGCTGTCCTCATTCCACTGACAGAGTCATTCTTATTGGAGGAAAACCTGATAGGGTTGTAGAGTGCATAAAGATCATTCTCAATCTTATATCTGAGTCTCCCATCAAAGGACGTGCACAGCCTTATGATCCCAATTTTTACGATGAAACTTATGATTATGGTGGTTTTACAATGATGTTTGGTGACCGCTGTGGAAGGCCTGTAGGATTTCCAATGTGGGGAAGAGGTGATTTTGACAGAATGCCTCCTGGTCAGGGTGGGCGTCCCATGCCTCCGTCTAGAAGAGATTATGATGATATGAGCCCTCGTGGAGGACCACCTCCCCCTCCTCCTGGTAGAGGTGGCTGGGGTGGTAGTAGAGCTCAGAATCTCCCTCTTCCTCCTTCACCACCTCCTGGAGGAGGAGATCTAATTGCCTATGATAGAAGAGGAAGACCTGGAGACCGCTACGATGGCATGGTTGGTTTCAGTGCTGATGAAACTTGGGACTCTGCAGTAGATACATGGAGCCCATCAGAATGGCAGATGGCTTATGAACCACAGGGAGGCTCTGGATATGATTATTCCTATGCAGGGGGTCGTGGCTCATATGGTGATCTTGGTGGACCTATTATTACTACACGAGTAACTATTCCCAAAGATTTGGCTGGATCTATTATTGGCAAAGGTGGTCAGCGGATTAAACAAATCCGTCATTAGTTGGGAGCTTCGATCAAAATCGGTGAGCCTTTAGAAGGATCCGAAGATCGGATCATTACCATTACAGGAACACAGGACCAGATACAGAATGCACAGTATTTGCTGCAGAACAGTGTGAAGCAGTATGCAGATGTTGAAGGATTCTAATGCAAGATATTTTTTCTTTTTTGTAGTGTGAAGCAGTATTCTGGAAAGTTTTTCTAAGACTAGTGAAGAACTGAAGGAGTCTTGCATCTTTTTTTTTTTTTTTTTTCTGTTTAAAAAGCCACCATTCCTCTGCTTCATAGGTGTTCTGCATTTGAGGTGTAGTGAAATCTTTGCTGTTCACCAGATGCAATGTTTTAGTTCCTTACAAACAGGGTTGCGGGGGGGAAGGGCATGTAAAAACTAACATTGAAATTTTGAAACAGCAGCAGAGTGAGTGAATTTTATTTTTTGTTCATTGTTGGTGGTTTAAAAAAAGTTCTCCCTATGTAATAATTGTGAACACCTTGCTTTGTGATCACTGTAACATTTGGGGGGGTGGGACAGGGAGGAAAGTAACAATAGTCCACATGTCCCTGGCATCTGTTCAGAGCAGTGTGCAGAATGTTATGCTCTTTTGTAAGAAACGTTTTATGATTTTTAAAATAAGTTTAGTGAACCTATTTTTGGTGGTCATTTTTTTTTTTTTAAGACAGTCATTTTTCAAATGGTGGCTGAATTTCCCAACCCATCTCCAAGCTAAACACTAAGTTTGATTTTCAGCTCCTCTGTTGGATATAAGGGTATCTCTTCTTGGACATAGGCAAAATATCTTGGCAAATTCAGTTCTGGTGATCTCTTGATGGTTTAAAAGTCTATTGCTGGGAAGAAATTCCATCATACATGTTCATGCTTATAATAAGCTGGGGATTTTTGTTTGTTTTTGCAAATGCTTGCCCCTACTTTTCACCAGTTTTGTGTGTTAGTAGTTATAAGGAACCAAGGTGGGGAGCAGCTGTGCTACAAATTGAGTACTGGTATTAGTATATACCAGAAGCCTGATTGGCAACAAGTTTTATTAATCAGAATAACAGTTGGTTATGGAAGTGACTGCTGAATAAATTCTGATTATTTTTATTAGATAATTTCTCACCTATAGACTTAAACTGTCAACTCGCTAGTGTCTATTAGTTAAACTTTGTAAAATATATATATATTCTTGTTTTTTCCATTGTATGCAAATTGAAAGAAAAAGATGTGCCATTTCTGTGTTGTATGTTGGATTATGTAGGAAATGTTTGTGTACAATTAAAAAAAAAACGATGAAAAAGTTCCTGTGGATG